CCCAAGGGCACAGAGGTGGAAAGTGACACAAATGGCAAAAAATAAAAATAAAAAGGTTCACTGCGGCATTCTTCGTAAAAGCAAAGGACTGGAAACAACCCTTCAACATGGGGGGAAATAGTCCTCAATAAAGGCCTGATTAAGTAAAATCCAGTAATGTCTCCACAGGGAGTACTATGCAACTATGAAAAGGAATGATTCCGTCTGTGCACTGTCATGGAGCCATCACTAAGATATCTTTTCTTTCCCGTTTTTTCTTGCCTAATCCCTCCCCCCTCTCTCCCCTGCTTTTTTTTTTTTTCTGTTCTGGGAAGGGGACCCAGGGCCTCATGCATGCTAGGTAAGTACTCTACTTCTCTGCCATACCCCCACACTCCCAGCATATTTTCTTTTCTTTTCAACATATCAACTTAGAACTGACTTCCTTTTTTAAAAAAAATTTTTAGTTGGACACAGTAACTTTATTTATTTATTTTTTTATGTGGTGCCTGAGGATCCAACCCAGTGCCTCAAACATGCTAGGCAAGTGCTCTATCTCTGAGCCACAACCCCAGCCCACCCCTAGAATATTTTCTTAAGTGGATAAAGCATGCTGCAGAATAGCAGGTTCCGCTGTTTTTCATCTAAGAAAGAGGAGAAAAATATCAAAATTTTAAAAAATGGAAAGTAAGCTAAAAAATAGACAAATTGGTAGCCTAGAAAAGGAGGAGGAAGGAGTTGGGAAGGATGGGTCTAGAMTTCTCTGAAAGCCTTGCTTTCTAGATATGGTGGTATAACTATATAAATATTTAATAGAACTATAGAAAACAGAATTACAATGTCATTTTGTCTCTCATTAATTATCCGTTCTAGCTCGGAGGTGGTGGCCTAGCTCGAATAAGACCCTTGGATCCATCCGCAGCACTGCGCACGTGCAAAAAGGAATTATCCTCCCTCCATTTTTTTTTTTTTTTTTGGTATTAGGAATTGAACCCAGGGGTGCTCTACTACCGAGTTATACCCCCATTCCTTTTTATTTTTTGAGATAGGTTCTTGCTAAGTTACCCAGGCTGGTCTTGAACTTGTGATCCTCCTGACTTAGCCTCAAAAGTCACTAGGATTACAAGTGTGTGCCCTATGCCCAGCTAATCATCTCTTTTAACAGCAGTGAAGAGACCTGTCTAGGTCATCACAAGGCAGAGAAGGTGCCAGACCTCACACCCCCCCTGGGTTCCAGGGGCTAAGATTTAATACTTCCCAGAGCTCCAATCAGCTGCTTCGGTCAAGATTCTCATAACCTGGGCTCAGTGGTAGAGCGCTTGCCCAGCACGCGTGAGGCCCTGAGTTCCATCCCCAGTACTGCATTAAAAAAATGATAGGAAAACAAACAAGATTCTCATAACTTTCTCCTGCTGCAGCCTGGAGGTGGGTTTGTCCCCAAGCACATCATTAGGAGTGTGCCTCTAATAACTGCTTACCTGGCTGAGACTCTGTGCCACCAACACCTGCCAAGAGCACACTGTGCGAAAAAGGAATAACATGCCCACCTGCTCTCTACACCGGCAGAGGGCTTCTCTGCATGAGACCTCTTTTCAGCTTTGGGAACTAATGTGCGGAAGCCTGGGCTCTGGTTCCGTGAGATCTGCCTTCAGTGCCTTGTACAGCTGAAGAGAAATGAGAGCTGGGGGTTCCTCTGACCCGGCGGGGTCCTGGTTGTGGGGTCCTGTGCAGAGTGTTTGTGGGGTAATTTCACATATAGGCTAAAGAACTGTTTTGGGCTCAGACAGACACAAAATTGAATCCCAGGAGTCCTACTTTCTGGCAATGTGCTCTTGAGCAAATTTGACACTTCCCCCTCTCTAAGACAGTGACAATGAAAGTACCTCCTGTAACAGGTAGCTTGAGGCTTAGTGCGGAGCTGCTGTAATCAGCAAGAGTAATCTTACAGGGCACAGCAGCTCCGAAACTCCGCTCCACCTACTGCCTCATGTGCAGAAGTTGAGTCTTCCCTGACCAGCTAACAAAGCCACCTCCTTATCCTCAAGCCATGTCCCCAATAAGGAWGAGCCTGCAGGATGCCTCCTTCCCACTGCTCCAGGGCCCAGGACGCTGGCTCTGTCAGCAGCTCTAATTCAGGGTCCTTTTGAGGACTAAGAATCCATCACCTTTGAAAAGGGCCAATACGGCTGAGGCTACTGTCAGGTGGGCCAGAAATGGAGTTCGCTGTTTCCCTGGCTTTCAAGGCTCTCCAGCTGAGCACTGCAGCTGGAACTCTCATGTGGGCAAGATCTCAGCGTGTGCAGGTTGCGCTGAGCTCACCCGCCCTCTGTCCACCCCACCTGCTGCTGGACCTTTTTCATCTACCTCTTTGTTTCTCTCAGGGACAGTGAGGGTGAGAAGATAAAGGGATCAGGATTTCACACACTGAAGAGCTTTTGTTTCTGTTTTTCATAGAAGTGAATACATTAAAATTTCCCTCTTGGCATCAGCCTATTGACTCCAAACACAGCTCTGAGATTAGACCTTTCTGATTTTAAGTTCTGTAAATTCAAAGGTTCCTGGGAAACCTGTAGGTTTTTCATTTTTATTTTTTTCCCCCTTCTGAAGTGTAAGCTCCATGATGATAATAAAAAACTAACACAGCAATTCATTTAGTCCATCACTGGGTRTTTATTGAGTACTTACTATGTTCTCGGCAGGATGCTAGGAGCTCAGAAGGCTCCTACCCCTGAGGGAAAAAGAGAAACTGCCATCTATTTAGATAACTACATACTAAGCTCTATGAGGCTCTTTAATAGCCTCAGTTCATTGAACTCTGGGCAACCCTAGGAAGTGGGTATTGTTATTCTATTGCAGGTGAGGAAAGAGACTCACTCGGGAAGTTCCATAACTTATAGGTCCCTTGTGKTAATGGGAGCCAGAATTCCAGTCTAGTCCTGTCTGACTACATCTGGATTCTTCCCACTAGACTACAGTGGGGGGCCCAGGTGTGGTGGGGCCCCGCCTGTAATCCCAGCTAAGGCAGGAGGATTGCAAGTTCAAGGGCAGCCTTGGAAATTTATTGAGAACCTGTCTCAAAATAAAAAAAGGCTGGGGATGTAGCTCAGGGATAAAGCTGTCCTGGTTTAGCCCCAGTACTGAAAAAAAGAAAGAGAAACAATACAGCAGGGAGGAGGAAAGGACCCCGATGGAGTAGCCAGTGGCTGGTGCAAGGCAGCAGAGTGTAGAGAATGGACTGCCTGTCTAGCACAGTGGGGTTGTGATAGGACAGTCTGCAGGAAGACTTCCTACAAGGCAGCCTAAGGTCTTGGGCAGGAATGAATTTGGGCAGGACAGTGGTGGGCAGCATGCCCTGAGGTCAGCTGGTTTGAGTCTGGGGTTGAGAAGTGGGAAGCCCCATGGAGCTGTCTAGACTTTCTGAGCTGGCAGTGAGAAGCCCAAAGGGAGTTTCACAGCCAGGCAGGGACAAAATCAACGGCAAAGCTGCTGTCGGCCAGCCTGCTTCCTGGGAGAGGGGGACACCCTTGGCTGGAGGAGGTGATGGGGCCTGAGTCTTGGGAGGGGTGGGAGGGATGACAGGGGAAGGACTGGCATTAACAAGATGGACTCTTCAGACTTTGGAAAATGCTTGTGGGGAGGAGTCCGGGGAGCTGTCTTTCAGTCTCCCCTTGGGTCACAACACACCTCTGTTCACATCTGTTCAAGGTCTTCCTGTAGCGGTAAATTCAAGCCCAAATTTCTCATCCTATCATCATGAGGCACTTCACAATCTGGCCTCTATTTACTTTTTTTGGGTTCRTTGCCCCAGCTTTTCCAAACTTCTCTGTGTTCCACCCAACCTCYGGCACTTCACCCATCAAGCTGGCCTCCACAAAGCTCATCAGCAGTAGGACCCTTCCCAAACTTGGCCCTGGACACCCACTGGTAGCTCTTCCAAAAGAGCTTAAGGTTTCATTGCTATGGAACTTAGACTGTTGGGTTCTCAGTGGTGTCCTGTCCTCCAGGATTGGTTCTTTTTACAACACATAAAATACACAGTTATCCCAACTGGGGAAGTCAGTTCACCTTTCGGACTTGGTTTCTTCCTCTGTCAAATGGAGCCAATAAACCTCATAGGCACAGTGCCTGCCTCCCCAGAGTCCATCCCTGGCTGCTCCAATCCTGTCCTCCAGGGTGGAGCAGTCTAAGCAGTCCAGCTCAGAGAAGGGAGAGGGCAGGGCACAAAGTAAAGGAGGGACCCCAGAGATCTCCCGTGGGATCCTTCAGAGGTCCTTCTTTGTCAGAAAGTGCATGCACACAAGCCACCCTTTAAAAGCCACAAGTAGATCTCTTCTTTAAGTTCTTTGAGAACAGCCCCCATTCCCTCCATCTTCCCCAAACTCTTCCAAAAAAGCCGCGGCCCCCATCTGGGGCTGGAACAAGTGCAGCACCTGCACCTGCACCTGCGCTGAGCCCGGGACTGTTCACCAAGCGGGTTTGGGGACCTGGGCTCCTGGAACGCCCTTCTCGACCCGCAAGCTCCCTCTCATCACCTCCGCTCGGCAGAAGAGAACCAGAGGTTCTGGGAGGCGACGTGACTTGTCCGAAGCGACAGGCGCTGCAGGCCTGGGCCGCACCCTCCCGTCGAGATCTGTACTCCGCAGGAGCTGTGGGGGTGGGAGGGTCSGGGACGAGTCCTCCGGGAAGGGAGGGGAGGCGCGGGACCCCAGGAACCGCTCGGCCGGCGTCGGGAGCCCGGGGGCGCGCGCGGCGATGAGGGGTTGATGCACCCGGGCTGCGGCCGGCGACAGGGGTGCAGCCCCCCGGGTCCCTCGCGGCCGCTCAGGAGCCGACCCTCGGGCGCATCTCTGCGGGCGCGCGCGGCGGGCTCCGCCGACGGGTTCTCGGGTCCGCCGCGCGCGCCCCCGCGCTCCCTCCGGGCCCGCGCGCTCCCGGGGCCCGGCGCGCGCGCGCCGCTCCCCTCCCCGCCCCTCCCGTCGCCACCCCGCCCCCGGCCGGGTACCCTCGCCGGACCCGAGAGAGAGCAGCGCCGCCATCTTAGTTGCTGCCTCAGCCTCCAGCGAAGCGCTGCTCGGAGGAGGGAGGGCGCCCGCGGCCGAGCGCGCGGCCCAGCGTCACGGCGGCCGCGGCGGCGGCTCCTCCTCGGACCCCGGTGCTCGCCGCGCCGCGAGGCAGTCGGCCCCGGGCCGCGAGGGCCCCGCTCGGCGTCCCGCGCGCTTCCCTGCCGCTCCCGCCTCCGGCCGGCCGCGGCGCCGGGAGCCCGAGCGATGCTGCGCCGCCCMGCGCCCGCGCTGGCCCCGGCCGCCGGGCTGCTGCTGGCCGGGCTGCTGTGCGGCGGCGGGGTCTGGGCCGCGCGAGGTAAGCGGCGGGGCCGGGCCGGGCCGGGCGTTCGGTCTGGGTGCGGGAGTCGGGTCCGAGCTCCGGGAGCCGCGACGGGGCTCGGGCTCGGAGCCGAACGCAGGCGTCGGGCCGGCGCGGGCTGCAGGGTCGCGGCGGGGCAGGGGTGTTCGGGGGCGCACCGCGCGGGCCGGGCGCKGGAGGCCGGGGGCCGCGCTGCGGATGCCCCCGGGAAGCCAGGCTCGGGCCCGGGCGGGGCACCCGGGCCGCGGCCGCCCCCGGCGCAGCCCTGGGTGGTGGCTGCGCCGATTTGGGTAGACGGTCCGCAGGGGTCCGGCCGCGCAGGCAGGCAGGGGACGCACCCCGGTGGGATGCGGTGTGCGTGTGAGTGCTCCAGTGGGCTCAGCCGGGGGTGCACGCGCGGGGCTCGCTGTGTGCTTACATAAGAGCCCACTCACTCCTCCGCATCCCTTCCCCAGATCCCGAGTCCCTGCCGCTGCCCGCGGACACCGCGACTTCGCCCCTTTCCGCCTTCTCCCCGAGTCCTGTAAACGTCTGTTTCCCAACGAGCGGAGGCTGAAACTTCTCGCTCCCCTCCCTCCTTTTCACCCCAAGGTGATATCGTGATGAGGTTCGCGACCGCGGTCTCGCCAGGTGTCACAAATGTGCATCTCCTGCGGGGTTTGTGACCTTACGGTCACAAACCCCGATCGTGCACGGCTTAGGTGGCCTCGCCAGAGACGAGAAACCCTGTTGGTTAGGATTTTAAGACCGAAATGATTTTATGGTTAGATGGCAAATAACATTTCTTGGCCAGTTGGTTATTATTTCTTAACCTTCATGTACTTAACCTTTTAAACGTTACATGCTTTCTGATATTGACTGATCTTGCCAACCAGAAGCTTACGCATTGCAGATACAGGGCTTCCGAATGGATCTAGAAATCGTAAACATTTTCCTTGGCCTTGGAGCAAAGTAATCTAGGTGTTGTCCACAGAGACCTGAATTTATTCTTCTGATTTTTTTTTTTTGAAAAAGAAAATTTTGAGGGGGAGGATTATAAGAAGTCTAGATGAAATGGCCATATTCCAATTTAGCAAGCTTTAAAATAATTCTTGTTTTCTTCTCGGCTTGCCATACGGAAAGAAGTATGGTGTTCACTAATTAAAGGGCAGAAGAGGCGAATGCATCTTTTGTTCCAGTGTTCCTTTCTTCACATGAACATGATAAACTTTGAATACTTCTTTTATTTCATTTCTAACATTCTGTGGACTCTGTTAAATTTAGGTCTGGGTCTCCATGTATCTAATTGCCCTCGATTTGATTTTTAAAAGTTACATCAAGCTAAGTTTGAAATGTTCTTTCCAGATGTGAAATGGAGGTCTGAAAGAGGAATAAATCCAAGGGGGGGGGGGGGGGGACTTTTGCTTCCTTCTCTTGGGAAATAGGTACACATTTAAAAAATATGTGCTTGAATTGAGTATTTTGGGAAAAGTTCAAGTGTGTTTAGTCAGTGATAACATTTCTTGCCCCAAATCCATGTTTTTAAAGTTCACACACCTGCATTTGCTCTTTGTTACTTAATTACTTTGGTTAAACAGTTGGTGTAGGCTTTAGCTCTTGATTATCTTTGTTATGGTGGACTGACAGAAGTCTTCTGGGGAAGATGTKCTGAGTGCTAGAATCATTTGTAATCTGCTAGTTTTCTCTATGCTTTTTTTTTTTTTTGCTGCAGTTGTATGACTTCTGGATTCCTAGTGTTCAGAATAAAAATTTTAAATATCAGTTATTCTGTTGCATTTGTTGTCTTTTCATCTTCCATGTTAGAAAATGTCTCATAAATATTACATGAAATGCTAATAAAACAATTTTATTTTGAAATGCTACAAATGAATTTTATACATAAATATGCAATTTGTGGAGGCACTTTCTATGGGCTCATTTGAAAAGATCATCAATCATTTCAGCTAATGTCTGATTTGCACCCCACCATCCCTGAGTGCTGGGGTTAGAACGCAGGCCCAGAGAATGCTAGGCAAACACCCTACCACTTTTTTATACCTTCAGCCTAATATCTAATTTCTTTTTATTGCCGCAAGACAGAGTAGTATGAGCTGCTTGCTGTTCATACTCCAGCTATCTTGAATCATTAATGGATAAAGATCACATAAAACTTATGTAGGAAATGACAAATTTCTTTATATAAATTGCATGTGACAGTTAATTAGATGCTTCATAGACAGTCCTCCCAAAATTTCACTTCAATTTTAGCAATCGTTTTCAAAAAACATCAAGTAAGCCAAAATATTAGAACTATGTTTGGTGTGCCCTGGATGGCCCTGTCAGCAGGCAGCCTGTCTTCCCTATAGTTATGAAGATCAGGAAATTGAAATTAGTAGAGAAAATAGCTGTATGAATATATAAAAGTAAATGAAACTATGTAGTGTATTTCAAAGTCAAAAAAATAATATTCACCATTACTTTTCCAGTTTGCACAGACTTCTCTGTGAGACCTCTCCTCACCATCCTGTTTGGAACTTCATCTCCCTCCCAGAATCCCTGGATTGTTTCTTCTCGGCCTCCCTTTTCATTTTTCCATAGCTCTTAATGCATTCTGACATGCCTTGTTATCTATTTGTGTTGTCTATTTTCTGTTTCCTCCCGGTAGGATGTATATCCAGACATGGRAGAGGGTTTTGTTGGCCTGTGTCCTTTCACTGGCACACAGTAGGCATGAAGTATTTGTGGTATGATGGAATGAATGGATGGGTGACTGTATTTCTGTGTAGACAGCATAGTGTTTTTACATACCCATTTTCACTGGACAGATAAATGTTATGTATTGAAAAAAGTATTACATACTGTGAATGTTATACTGCAAAAAGTGTTACAGACATGCATAGGGGTTTAAAGTAGACTTAATTCTGCAACATGGTTAAGGGAATTCATCAGTAGGAATTTTTCAAGGATCCTTTCTGTTGATTGCAGTGTTGGGGATATTGGACCATAAAAATCTGGCTGAGCCTTATGAAAGCTATTGCTACCATTTTGAGTTTTTTTTTTTTAATTTTTTTAGTTGTAGATGGACATAACGTCTTTATTTATTTATGTATTTTTAGATGGACACAATATCTTTATTTTTTTGTGGTGGTGAAGATCAAATCCAGTGCCTTACATGCTAGGCAAGTGCTCTAGCTCCCACCTTGGGTCTATTTTTAAAAGTATTATATTTCTTTTCTTTTTTAAACAATAACAAGAATATGACTTATAAACCTCTAAACTTATCTAAAGCTCGTATGAAGTTAATTTCCTTTCCTTTCTTAGAAGCAACATTGGGAAAAAAGCCATTTGAATATAGAGTTCAGTATTACCCTTGGTCTAATGCTTTTATTTTGTTTTCTTTTTTTCTGACATTTTAAATGCTRAAGGTCAGTAACATCTCAATGGGGAACCTATAACTGCTGAAGAAATAATAAAATATTACTGATTCTGAAGGTATTCCTCTTTGAGCTTCAGCTTGATTAACTGGAACATTTAGTTAGCTGAAATTCACCTTATATTTCTAGGAGAAAAAGCGTAAAATCAAATAGTTTTATGGGGATTCTTTTTCAAAAGAAAGGCTTAGGAGCTCAGGACATGTATTATTTGTGCTGGTATTGTTTGATTTTCTTTCCTTTTTCTTCCCCCTTCTCTTGGTGGTGTGGGCCCCAGGGCCTCACTGGCTCTCCCGCTGAGCTACATCCCCAGCTCCTGCATTGATTTGTAAGCTGAAAAGAGCAACTAGTATTCCAGTTTCGGATTTGAAGAATATGACAAAAACGAAATTTTAATAAAATACAACATTATTTTTACATTGAAATTAGAAAATGSTATAATTTAAAAAAAGCTATAATTTTATAGCACTAATTTCAGGACTTGGTTATGCTTATGAAATCACATATGAATGTTTAAAACGAGGAACCAGAGTTATATTAAAATTTTAGAGCACTTAAAATGGTTTGGAGTATTTATATTATTGCTTTCTAGGACAGGAAAATGGTAATTTTTTTAGATCTTTGTTCGTAAATGTTGAAGCAACATTGAAGAGCTGATTTTCTGAACACTACCGCAAGCATCTTTCCTGTATTCTGGTTGAGGTATCAGATCTTTGTAGCTTAGTTTTTCTGTGGTGTTGATTTGTCAGAAGAGTTGCACAAAAAAATACTGTGTCTTTTATAAACGAAAATTTAAGTGTTAATTTGCTATGAAATATTTTAATAGAGCATCAGAAAATACCAACTCAAGACTAGTGGGAATGATTTATGCAAAGTCATATTCTTATTGTTGAAAAAAGCAAAAAGCCTTCAGAAGTGTCTTTTGACACCAGCAGAGGCTATCCAGAGGCCAGATAGGAACACCAGACTGTGACAACCCTTCCTTGCGCCCAACTCTATATAGTTGCCACCATATCAGGATTGGAGTGCTGCTTTCTGTTGTCCCGGATTTGATAGGTCTTTTCTCCCTTATGTGTTAGACATATTTTTGCTAATTTTCTTTTTTAGCCTTAGGGAGATATTATTAGATTAAAAATTCACAAGATCCGTTGCTAAGTCTTTTTTATTTTTAAAGGTTCTCGGCAAAGATTCAATTACTTCAAAATAACTGAATTCAGATCATCTTATAAACCTCTAAAGGACGTATGAAGTTAATTTCCTTCCTTTCCAGAGCCCATAAGAATTGCGTGGTAGGGCTGGGGCTGTGGCTCAGCGGTAGTGCACTTGCCTGGTATGTGTGAGGCACTGGGTTCGATTCTCAACACCAAAAAATAAACAAAATAAAGGTTTATCAACAACTAAAAAAGAAAAAAAAATAAGAGTTGTAGTAGCACACCGAAGGAAGATCCGTGTTTTCCTTTTTTACCTTTTTGGTCAGTCGTGAATATTATGTTTCAGTCACCTGTTTTGGACCACTGTAATTCTCTTTTGACAAGAACTCCATATTGAATTTGTTATTTTTCAAGTCTGCCTTGATCTGTACTTTAA